CACGCCAAGCAAGAGTCCGACTGCTGCAGCTGCGTGAGGACAACGTAGGCAGGTGTTTGGTTGGAAGTCGCGTGGGGTAGCGATTGGGCATGTCAGAGACTTTGGGGTGAGATCCGCGGTGGTATGTCCGAACTGGCGAACACAGTTCAATTACGCATCAAACAAGCAACCCTTGAAGGTCAGCATTCCCTGCAGCCACTGTAGGCCATGGTTGACTTGACGAACGAGTTTCACGCCCTTCCGCCTGCGGGTTTGCCCTCTCTCGGGCCTTTCCACCGAGCTCGCGACATTGCCACTACCGCCCAGCGCTGACGTGCCCAGAGCCTTGAAAGCGGGATGCGGCGCGATGATGCCCAGCGAACCTTCCAGTGAGGGCAACAGTTCACCAGTCCGAGTACACGGAAACGGTGTATGCAAGACAGGCGGAAGAACGCACTGAGGCAGACTTGGGCGAAGATCTCGGCTGGACGGGGTATCCCAGATCCATGAGGTGGCAGCGGCTTTCAAGGCGGTGGGCTGCCGAGCGCAACTGCATACTTGTTCACCCAACTACGGGTGTCATCCATGAGCGATGCAACGGGAGCAGTGACCAGAGCCCTGGGCCCCGCAGATTCCGCTGTCATGGTCGCCAGGGACGAAAAACATATCTCATGGCCCATTGCTAGGTATGAGGCATGGGTGTTCGCCAACCATGCGAGATTCGAGAGCACCAAGCAAATCAGGGAGATCCAATGGACCGAGGAATTAGGCGGACGCGTGCTTGTGTTTGCACCACTTCGCGTGAAGAGAGCGCAACATGCCTTTTCTGTGTGACCTTCCGGTTGCTTCGTAGTCGAGACACTTGCTTGAATGCACAGGCGGGCTCGGCACAGGCAGAGGGGTTGCCACCAGTCGGACACTCGGACACCATGAGGTCGCCTGCATTGGTTGTCGGGTGGCAGTGATCGAGCAAGTGCGACGCAGGGGTCCTCAACTTGCCAGAAGTTTCCTTCGCACGTTGCCGGGAAAACACCCAAAAGCGGCATTGGAGGCAAGCAACGTCCCAAACCGTGAGCTTTGCACACCTCGCAGCAAGTGCAAGGACAAGCTGCCGGCATGGGTTCGAGATAGTGCTTGAGACTAGGCAAGGGCACACAAACAGGCAGCACTATGGGTATGAAATGAACGTGTTTGCATCCCTGAAGCTGTAGCCGGGCTCGCTGAACTCGACCTGAGTGATGTGTGTCATCATGTTGTCGAGGACCAGATAGAAAACTATATTCGCAGACGCCCAGTTTGCAGAGGGACGGGTGTTGATGCAGGGCACATGACATGCGCCCTAGGGCCGCATCCAGCTTGCACACAGCGTAGTATTGCGCAGCAGTTGGGCGTACCATGAGAGTTAAAAGTGAGTTGTGTACAGTTTACATGTCAATTAATGAATTAGGGTGGTCGGAGGGGTTTTGTGACTCAACGGCTGTGACATGCTGTAACAGTTTTCGTGGAACGAACTTGTTTGTGAAATGAAAACTGGAAGGAGTACATGTCACATAGGGTGGTCATTTAGTTGTGAATGTGATTGGACAACATATGGACTCAAGAGGCCCACAGGTGAAGATACATCACCGCGTGCTATGTATTTTGAGTTCTCCCCACCCACCCCCGAAGCAATCATTCCTGTTTCGCCCCCTTGGACGAAGTATTTTAATTAGCATCAGGGAAAAAACATGTTTGCCTGACTGATCTGTGTCGTCATGTTTTCGGACCACATGGAACACGACATTCGCAGTTTGTGGGCCCAGTTTGCAGAGGCCCTTCGGAGCTCTTCACAGGGCAGTCGATATTTCGACGGGTGTCGATGCAGGGCAGTAGATTGCCACATGACATGCACCCTGGTGCCGCGCCCCGCTTGCAGCAAAACATGCGTAGTAGTTGAGCGTGGCATGAGTTGTATAAAAGAAAACATGAAGCGTATCAGGGTGGTAGGAGGGGCTTTGTGACTAAACGGCTGTAATTGTAACAGTTTTTAATTTTTTTTGGTGTGTGTGTGTGTGTCAGATCTCAGCCTGACTGATCCCAACCGATGTACTCTAGTAGGGGGACCCGCCAGGCGTGGCTGGACATTCACTCTAGTACCGAGAGCCACCCTGACATTCTGCGAGAAAAAAGGTGTAGACAGAAAAAACAACACCCGGGCCAACGCCAGCCCCTTCAACATCGTTTAAATGCGTGCTTGTTTGGAAAAATGGACTAGTTAACGTGAAAGACCACAGAGCATGCCAGGAGTGGACCAGAGACTGACGACGTCTCAAGCAAACGGCAGCTGCAAATCCACAGTTCACTATTGTAGTTTAGGCAGTGGCGAACATAAATTTAGGAACCTTTGTTTGGGGCCGATCCTTCTCGCGCGCTTCGTGGTGCCCATAATTGCATTTATTGCTATCATGTTATAATGTTCCGGGGAAGAATGCAAAACTTAAAGATAGCGGTAGCCAAGGCGACAGGGCACGCGTAGTTAAAAGGCGCCCTGTGACCGAGAGGAACGCCTTTTTAACGTGCCAGTGCTCCTACCCTGACCCTTTTTAACGTGTTGCATTGAAAACAAATGAAAACCGTGTTTTTTTTCGCGACCGACCTGGTGTAGATGCAGAATGGACACTGCGCAACGAGCGTTCACAATCCGCTTACAAAAATAATGGCACTGCGGCAATACACCCGTATCGACAAATATATTTTTGCACGTTGTTTTGGTCAACCTATTTTGAACTCACGGCCAACAACCAAAAATTATGTGGATACACCGATGAACCCGAAAAAAAACTCTGATCGTGAAGGGACCTTCCACAGGACCATATTCCACCACCGACAACATGTGCAGACCCGCGTCCGAAGAGCTGAGCCTGCCACCAGACGCTGAAGACGCCCCACGGCTTCATGGACTGAGCCATACACCCATGAACCCAGAAACATTTTTAGACAAATGAAATATCCAATGTGGATTGGACCAGTGAAGAATTCCAATGAAGAATGGGAGTTTTGGGCTGTCATTGCGGCAGTGATTTTTTGTGACCTTCAAAAACTTCAAAACCTACATGGAGTTGGCGATCGCCAAGAGAGTCGGAATTCGGAGAGGAAAACAACTTGAAGAGAAATTTGAACACGTCAAGACTATGCCAAAAGGAATCACAGTGGAGGACTCTTTGTAGAGAGAAAAACACAAGGTCGACAGGCTATTCTTAACTACAATATCTTGAGTGAGATCAATGCAGGAAACCACCCAGCCAGAAGGAGTTTTGAAGCTACGCAGGCCACACCAGGATGGTATAAAGCACACAGGGTGATGCTAGGGGCAGCCCATGAAGGAGCAAATCCATCAGATGGTTTTGAACGAAGCATTCAAGAAAGGAAACAGAGAGAATCAATGGGACCAGAGTACAAAAAATGCAAACTGCACAGATGTGTGGTAGGTTCCACGCCAAAATTGAGGACATGAAGGAACAAGAATGGAACCTACTAGGACTAGGAGGCCAGGATGCTGCAGATAGATGTGGGCCAGAACGAAGAAAATATGACGAACTGCTTGGAATAACATAATACAGAAGGCAACCCGCATGTTGAGTCAACACAAGCACGCTTCAGGAACCCAGTTCCTGTAATTGGAAGACGTGAAAAGACTTGCAGAAGATGGAATGGAATGAGAGTGGCAAAGTGAGCTCAAAGAGGCATTTTAATAGAATTTCACATCGCCAAGAAGGAATGCGAACCATTTTCCATAGGAATCAGTGTGCAGGAACATAGCCTTACTAGCATCATAGAAAGAACAGTTTACTGGTACACAACGCGCATGCGAGTTCATTGCAACCCTTCTGCAAGACAAGTGAAGTGCGTAGCAAATGTTTGCTCGTGTTTGAACACTGGCAGTTGCAATTAATAAGGGCTGCCTCAAAATCCGGGATTTCAGTTGATCCTGTAGCTGCTTCAATGTACTGATCGGGTTCCTTCCTGCGACCTCCCTTAGAACTTAGTTTCATTTTGATCACTCTGCATCCCCCAATGTGTTACATGCTGCTCAGCAAAGCCAAGGGCGGCGTGGTGCGTGCAGAGAACACGCGCAGTTGTACATTCACTGTGGTTCCGGCATGCTCAAGTTATTTACAGCAGGTCACTAAAGACAAACAGAAATGGGAGACCAATGGGCCAATGGGACTGTGACTAGAACATTGAGCCAATTCTTTTGTGAAACTCGAGGGTTCACGGAAACCGTTTGAGTTTTCACCAATGCCACCACGCAGACACGTGAAATATGCAGTGGGTCTCCATGTTTATCCCTTTCCGGAACTTCCCTGAAGGGCAGAAGGTGTGGGTCGTTTTCGGCGCTGTAGCACCAGAAAGTCGCAACTCCCAGGACACCAACAAAATGTTCAATACGTTTCCTTGAGTAAAGATGACATCACAACATTTGTCGCCCAACGCGCGTGTGATGGCTGTCCTTGCCTCATTCGGCCGAAACATGCCGAAACAAGTTTCGAGGACGTTGATGGTGGAAGTGTATTAACCGTAAGGGGTCTCTTTCTGTGGTGGCGACCCTTGCAGAAACTATATGCCGCCTCAATGCCGAGGCATCGGGTCATCACGCACACATGAATGGATCGGGACCAGTGAGACAAGCTTCGCTGGCTAAATCGCTTCCTCCAGGCAGGCAGATGTGTGTGACGGGCCAATCATTTTAGTTCGGCAGCACTGCACTTCACGCTGGGTGGGGCAAGCCACTTGAAGAGGTAAATGGGCCCGTGATGTTGATTAGACCCTGTCGGAAAATTGGATCTGCCCGTAAGAGCCAAACATATTCATATTACACATATGTTATGATAATGTACTGCAGCTGTTGAAGACAACAGATGTAGCTTCCGTGGACGTGATGAGGCGATCACGACCATACAAAAACATTGCAAGACTAACATGCACGTGTAGAATCACCGTTGTGCTAAAATACTTCCAGTTTCATTTCTCGTGGCTTGGCCATGGTGAAATCAGCCAAAGAAACCAAGAAGAAAGCTGACGCCAAAGCTTCTCCGAAGCTGAAGCCCAAGGCCTCGCCGAAGGTTGCACCAAAGGCATCGCCCAAGCTTGCACCGAAAACATCACCCAAGGAGGCTCCCAAAACGAAGAAGCGAAAGCAGGAGACAGCTGAGGCTGACAATGAGATAGAAACCAAGAAAGAGAGAAACGAAAACAAAAAAATTAAGAAGTCTGAAGGGAGCCTTGGCGTATGCGCAGTATCTGATATCAAAGAAATATCAGATGCCAGCCAAAAGGCGTTGGCTGGCAAGAGCATCACCACGCTCCTTGGCTTGGCCTGATCCCGGTAACCTTTTTTTCATGATGTATGTTGATTCCTCCTACCGTTTGATTGTGCAACAAGCACGGGTGAACATTTGGCATAGTGTTGACCAAGGTTGTTCGAGATCCAACAGAAGGCTTTCCAGCCATGCTTCAGCGGCAAGGACGTTGTTGGTCGAGCCAAGCCCTTTGGCCCACTTTGTTGAAACAAATCCCATTGACAAAAGCTGGGATCACTGACCTGGATTGATAGACAGGATGTGTGGTAGAGCATGTTGTGGTACGGTATAGCCACACTGTGATATGGTTAGTCATATTTGTATGTGTACGTGTTGCTTTGTTATGCTTTGTTTAGGTTTATGATTTTCTTTGTTTGTTTGTTTGCTTGCATGTGTGTATCTTCGTTCGGCAACAAAGAATAACACAGACGCTTTTCAGGTTAGTGCATAGCAATTGTTGTGTAAGGACTGGCTGTGGAAAGACCTTAGCCTTTGTGCTGCCAGTGGTGGAGCGTATCAGAGCAAACAAGTTCATCAAGCAATTCCGCAAGAAGGCTGGTTATCCTCAATCATGCCGGGTTCAACTGGTGCATGTTTTGCTTGATGCCTCGCCAAGATCATCTTGTCAGATGTGTCATATGCCGCTTTACATCGTTTTACCACACGTCAGAAGGACGGGAAATCATTATTGCCCACCAGGTGTAGAACCAACACTCGAGAAAGATGTCAAACAACACTCTGACACTGGTTTTCAGTTAACGCAATTGTCACGTTGGGAAGGAAGGTGAGAGAACGGAAAGGTGCATGGGTCCGATCACTTGAATAGTTTAACATTGTTGTCACAAGGCGGCAGCAATCAAACCGGCGGCGCAGCTGCTGGGGACGAGTAGGTTTGGGGGTGGTAGCATGAAGAACCATGGAATCAAACAAAGCCAATTAGACAGCGTGGTCAAAAGTTCAGCAGGTACGCAGGGCTGATCAGGCCCTGCTTCCCACTCCCGCCCACAGCTTCGTTGCGTGTGGTAGGGCGGGAGTGCCACACGCCCCTGCCTGATTGGAGTGGTCGAAGGAAACCCTTTGTCCAGGGGTGGACACACACAAGTTGCCGGCTTCGGCGCTTTTTCAAGACACCCCCTACCGTTGAACCAGTGGACGAAAACCTTTTTCCAGGGGTGGACACACACACAGAGCCGTTTTCGGCGCGGTCAAAGTAGTAGTAAGGCCAGGGGCCTCCAGTAGCGTCCAAACTCCCAGGGGAACATTTGCACAAAAAGCGCCAAATTGTTGGCGCAACGAAGAACTAGTAGACACCTAAAAAGCCTTAGAAAGACGGAAAAAGCAACGAAACAAGAGCAGACTAAGAGGGCAAGAAAGAAAAGTAGGGTAGTTACGAGGCCCACTTAGTTAAACGAAAGTAGAAGGCGAGCGGGACATTCGTCTTAAACCGCCCGGGTAGCTAGCAATAGCTAGGAGAAACAGAAGGAAAGGCACCAACACACAAGTGTGTTGAGTGCGATTTCCTTCTGTTTCCCGAGTAGCGGGTGGGATAGCAACGGAGGCCTGGGGTAGGGAGGGGGGGGGGTGAAAGAGTGACTAGGGCGTACACGGTAGAGGTGCAGACCGCTAGTGTCTTTTATGCGCAGAGTCTTATCCTCTTGCTCTTTGAGCCTTGAAGCAGTCAAGCATGGACACACTATATCGGCTGTTGGAGTGGAACACTGTACAGGTAGGCTCTACTTTTCAGCAGGCACAAGATTCATGTCCACTCCTAGCTGATTGCGTATGTCGCATACTCTTTTTCTACTGCAAGGCTAAAACAGTCCAGCTAGCTCTGACAACTTAAAAGAAAACTACGGTGCCATGTACTTACCTAATCCAGTGTGTTTCACACTTCGGAGAAGGTAATCTCATAGCTACTAAATACAGTGAGGGAGCAATAGCTGACTCACCTCAAGTACAAAATCAAAGCGATAATGTACCTCGGCTGGAGACTGTACTTTTCGCAGGCGGAGATACCATGTACCGGCGCTCACTAGCTCTTTAGGGCCTGAGCTAAATCAAACTCAAAAGGGAAAGCGGCTTTTTCTCTACAGAGACCTATAAAAGAATCAAACGACACTCGCGTAACAAAGAACTAAAAATTCAAGACCGCACAAATTGCAATGAATTAAGATGCCTTGCAAAATGCAAGGAGCGTACGGTCCGAGGAATAATCTTCTCGTGACGTGGTGTCGACCGCTTTCATTCACAGACAAAATAAAACTGCATCAAAAGGACTCTCTTTCACATTCACATCAAAAACGCAAGAAGGAGATACCGGCAAATGTATGTACGAAAAAATCTTGCACTACAATTGCAAATCATGAAATGACTTAATCATCAACCATGACTGGTTGTCCATTAGAGGTCACTTCATAAGAGCGGTGGTGATAGATATCATCAGTTATGTAAAACTGTCCATACCTATCTACATGCTAAAGCGTATAAACCTGGAATGCAGGAGTATCTTCTTTGATAAAAAGTTTCTCCTCATTGCAAACCAGAATCTATTAAAACTTCAGCCTGTCAACTTAAAGTCAAGCCTGGAAGCAAAGTATCAACTGTAACCAGAAGTATCTTCACTTCCTAGCCATCATTTAAATTTCAGCCTTCGCTCAGGAATTATGCCGCTGCAAACGATGAAGCTGCTTGATCAGAAGTTGGCGGCCTTCCTTTCCTTTTATTCTCTTTCTGTCTCTCCTTCCTCCGCAGTTTCGCCTCATGAAGCGTTGCTCCCATGCGATACTGTCTTCTGTCTCCAGATGAAAAGGAAGCTGGTCTGAGTGAAATAAACATTGGACCATGACTGTCCTCATCAGTGGGCCTTGAGCACATAACCTCTGTGTCAATCATAGCAAAGTTCTCTGAAAAATTACAGATGAACTCCTTCGTGCTCACTGTGGAATTTTCATATTCCTCTTCACTCATTGAATGACCCCATTCAACAATGGTAGACAAACATGTATCGCCAAGCTGTGATCCTTGGTATTCTTCTTTTTCAACAGTAGAATATTCTTCCCAGAGTTTATCAAAGTAAACTTCACACTTCTTGAGGACCTGTGAAGTTGAACTGTAAAATGTTCTGGGAATAGGTGCTTTGATACCAGGATCTGCTTTTACACGAGCTTCTGAAAACCTGCGGATCCAATGCTGCATGGTGCTGTAATAGTAGTTAGCCATTGGCTGCCTTTTGTACCCAGACATTCTGTAGGCCAAACTATTTGCATCACCAGAAATGATGTCCACCTCATAGACAAAACACTCGTAAAGCATCAGTGCTGTCTGTTCTCCTGTCAGTAGGTGGGCATCCACAGCACGGTGTGTATCAACATGATAATTACAGACTCTGACGGTATGCATGTTCGCTCGAGTAAGTGGAACACGCTTGTCCTCATGACCATAGTCATCAAATTCAAAGTCTGCATCCTTGAAATCTTGACGAGGCCTTGTTTCTCCAAAGCAAATCTCGTAGATAGCCCAAGTTACATCACGCTGTTCACAGTGACCAAGTTCCTGATCATGTCCAGCAATGATCTTGACATATCCACCTGGTGCCAATCTAGCCATCGCTGCAAGATTCTCCCAATCATTGAAACAAACTGTCCAATTCTTTTGCTCAATAAATTCCTTGGCAGGAACAAGAAGATGAGCTTCCTGGAGAATCACGACATGTGCACGTAAAAAGAAGAGCATGTTGAAGAAAAGGTTGTTCTCAAATTGCTCATTCTGAAGTGACATGGCGCTCTGTTTGCGTGGCCTCATTGCACTATCAAGTCCTTGGAGAAACCTTGGTGTGGTGTACTTCTGACCACGAACCATGTTGCCATAGTTCCAGGATAAAAATGTCAAGGACTCTGAGCTGGCCAATAAATTAGTTCCATATGGTTCTTCTATTCTTCCTTTGAGGAACCTTCTGCACAGCTCTTCATAGAAGGTGACAAAGTCCCAACTGGGTCCCTTGGGACCATATGATTCCAGTTCCTTCTTCAGTTCCTTCTTCGTCTCCTCCAATTCTTCTCGAGCATGTTCTGCCCTTTCAAGGGCCTTTGGATCGACCTGATACTTGCCATCCAAATAAATGATGCGATCATCATTGATGAAGAATCTCTTCAAATCATGCTCTGGTTCATGTTCATAACAATCAGGTGGAGGTACTGGACAGACATTACGAATGGATCGAACAAAATCATTCTCGTTGATCCTTGACTGATAATGAGGATGGGAAATCTCACCTTTTCTGAAACAAACATGATTCAGCAATCTTGCGTGAGTTTCCCTGAAGCATAGTTGATAAAGGCCAATACCTGGATCTCCTGTAAGCTCTCCAAGCAACTTCAAAGGTGAAGTATGCAGCTCATAGGTATTGTCAGCTTTTGTTGTATCCTTTTCAACAACTACTTCAGATGGAAAAGATTCCTGGATTTCTGCCTCCAATTTCTTCTCTCCATCATCCTCTCTGACCTCCTTTATTTTCTCCACCGCCTCTTTCTTCTCTTCCATGGTTGCATCATCCTGAACTTCTTCATGAAAATGAGGATCAGGTATTTTATTCAGGCGGCTTTTCTTAGATTTCGGCAGACGTGGAGTACCATCAAGGTTAGCATCCATCTCACCTGATGGTAAGTGCGATGCAGCCGAGTCCTCACCTATCTCTCTTGACAGAAAGTGTGGTGTTGACTCCTCCTTGGCTTCCTCCTGGTCCACTTCCATCTTTGGTTCCTCTGAAGGAAAAACACCTGCATTCTCATCAAATATTTCTTCTTCTTTTTCAGGTTCAACTGCAGGATCTTCTTCAGGAACTTCCTCTTCAATATTCTCATCTTCTAGAAGTGTCCTACTTCCAGTATAGACTTCACCAGCGATAGTGGAGACTCTTGTATAAGGAGGAACTTCTTCACCTGCCTCAAAGGCTTGTTCTGCAACATCCTTGGTGAGCAAGTCCTCTACAAGATTTTCTCCCTCGGTTCTTGGAAGAGGTCCTGAGGTCTCATAAAAATCTGTCCTCTCATTGTCCTTTTGATCCCTGAACAGGTGAGTAATCTTCACAGCTTCTCCCTGTAGCACCTGATCACCTCCTCTATACTTGTCGACAATGGAGCGCCATACTGGAACATCATCATCATCAAAATCAAGCTCCATATCATCTGCCAACAGGTATGAGATGTTTTGAGCTGCCTGTTCTTCTTCTTCATCACGTTCTTTGGCAAGCTCCTCATCCTTCTGGATCTTGAAGATACCCTTCAGGATGTCTTGTAGTACCTTTAAGTTCAGCTTCGGTGATGGCTCATACGTCCCTGAACTTACAGGCTCAACTACAACACGAGAGCAAGAAATCGCCTCCAAAAACTTGGAATTGTATTGGCGTTCAAACTCTTCCTTCTTGATCATCTCATACAAGGGATCAGAAACTGCAACACGCGCCTGAACATACTCACGAAGTTGATAGCATGCATGTTGCACAAATCTACTGTTGGAGTTGTGAAGAAAACTCTCTAAATGATTCCTGTCACGGTCA